TTTATAGGGGATTTTTCAAGAGCGTTTTACTCCAACTAAACATCTTTTAATATCTAAATTTAAACAAATAATAATATCTTTTAAATTTAAAATATTAAATAGATATACACTCTTTTTAGTATTTAAGTTAAATAAATCTTATTTGAATTTGAAATGTATAAAAGTATATAATTATCTTTAATATTCAAAGTTAAAAAGATCACACATACCTTTTTAAATTGACATATTCAAAGATTAATTATTCTACTAATATTCAAATTAAATAATATATTTTAATTTACAATATTTAAAAGGACTCTAAATTTAATATAAATATTAAATCCATCAAAGTAATCCACCTTTTTATTTCAACAATCCCATACATGAATGAAATTGATGATTTAATAAAAAAAAATTGACACGATGTAGTGATAACCTCTACGATCGATAGCTGCATAGGATAGGTATGTGTCCTCCTTTGAACTTTCCCTTGTGAAAGTATATTTACTTTACTAGTTAAATAGTATACACAATTTCCTTAAATTGTTCTACCATTTGTGTAAACGATGACATACTTTACAAAACTATCCCTATAAAAAATTTAGTTCTCATGGGTATGTCTGTAAAGCCATGGACATCCGCTTGGTTATGCAGGAGTTTGAAAGAACTATGCCCAATAATATCCTTGAAGTGACCCCACTTCACTCTCACATAGGTGACTTACGTTGCTTAACTCACCACAGCACACAATAGTCATTAAAAGCTTAGCTTAGCCTATACCATTTTGATTATTGTTTATATCATAAGAACAAACTTGGGATAAGATACCCCACAATGATCGTACACAGTTTATGCAATTAGGTTATCCCTTTGAGCCTAGATCTTAGGATCTCCAGTCAATAAGGTAGGGTTTTCCTTCACATAACACCTTTAAATTTCATGGGCTTTAGCCTCTTCATTTATATATTTTCTTAACTTGATCTCGATTTAACCCTTTGGACAGCGGATCCACGATATTATCCCTTGATTTTACATAATCAACAGAGATAACTCCATTTGAGATCATTTGTATAATGGTATTGTGTCGACAAAGTATATGTCTCGATTTACCATTATACATAAAATTATATTCCCTTGCAATTATTGCTTGGTTGTCATAGTATATACATACTGTGGGCACAGGTTTCGACCATTCTAGAATATCCTCAAGAAAATTCTAAAGCCATTCTACTTTTTCTCCCGATTTTTCTAGAGCTACAAACTCATATTTCATTGTGGATCTAGTTATAATCGTTTATCTTGAAGATTTTCAAGACATGGTTTCTCCTTCTAAAATGAATACATATCCACTTGTACCTCTGTTATTTTGAATATAAGATATCCAACTAACATCGGAGTATCTTTCTAAGACAGTAGGATCTCTGGAATAATGCAAACCATAATATCAATTATATCTAAGATATCCAATATCCTTGTTATTGCTTTCTAGTGATTTTCACTTGGATTGCTCGTGAATTTGTTTAGACTGCTTATAGTAAAAGCGATGTCTGGTCTCGTACAACTCACGAGATCCGTTAAGCTACCTATGACCCTTGCATGTTCCACCTGGTGAACACTTTTACCTTGATTTTTAGAAAAATGTGAACAAGAGTCTATTGGAGTTATGGCTATACTAGAATCATCCTTGTTAAATTTTTCAAGGATCTTGTCCAAATAGTGTGACTGTGTTAGAATATGGCCTTCAGATGACCTTTTAATTTGGATGCCCAAAATCGTATTCCGCCAATCCCATGTTTTTCATATCAAATCTCAAATTTAGCATGTCTTTGGTATGTTTTACTATTTCATTGTTACTCCCAACAATGATTATGTCATCAACATACAAGTATAGAATAACATATCATATATTTATAGTTTTTACATGTACACATTTGTCACACTCATTTATCTTGAAATAGTTTGTCATCATGACACTATCAAACTTATCATGCCATAGTTTTGGTGCCTGTTTAAGTCCATACAAAGACTTCACCAACCTACATATTTTCTTTTTCTTTACTTAGAACTACATGACCCTTAGGTTGTTACCTATAAATTTCTTCATCAATATCCCCATTTAGGAAATTTTTTTAACATCCATTTGATGTACTTTTAGATTTCTCAAAGCGTCAGTTGCAAGTATCATTCTTATGGATGTTATCCTTGATACAAGAGAATATGTATCAAAGTAGTCAATGTCTTTCTTTTGATGGTATTATTTTATTACCAATCTACCCTTATACTTATCAACTGTTCCATATGTTTTCATTTTCTGCTTGAAATCCATTTAGAATTTGTGGTTTAATCCCCGGAGGAAGATCCACTAATTTCCACATATGATTCCACATGATGGAATCTATTTCTCTCTTAATGGCTTCCTTCCATAAGGTGCCTTCAGAGGATCATATAGCTTCACTATACATTTAAGGTTCAGCCTCCAACATAAAGGTTAGGAATTATATTCCAAAGAATTTTTCAACCTTGCTCATTTACTCATTCTTGCCTCTATCTCAATTTCAACCTCTTGTTGATCATCTAGTCTATCATCATTATTAGTCTCTAAAGTTCACTTTATTGAACTTTGATCAACTTTCTTAGATTTATAAGTGAAAATATTTTAAAAAAATGATGCATTCTTTGATTCCATTATCTATTCTTGTGAATCTTAGGATTCTTTAATTCACACATAAGAAATCTATATGCATTCGTAGCCCATGAAAATACAATCCATGGTTTTAGGACCTATTTTCATTTGCTTTCGTAATGGGGCCATTACCTTGGCAAGACACCCTTATATTTTCAAATAGTTTTAGGAAGGTTTCCAATATTTTCTATAATCCATATGGTTTATTGTCTTTTTTTCTTTTGGGGTATCTTATTTAAAAGGTAATTAGTTGAAAGGACAACATCCACACATGTTTTGTGATAACCAGAATTGCCTAACAAGGCATTCATCAATTCTTTCAAACTCCGATTTTTCCTCTCAGGTACTTCATTTGATTGAGGAGAATATGGTGGTGTTACTTTGTGAATAATACCATGTTGTAAACAAACTTCACCGAATGGTTCAACATATTCACCACCACGATCACTTCTTACTATCTTGATCTTTTTATTAAGTTGGGTTTCAACTTCCTGCTTATAGAGCATAAATTTCTCTATAGCTTCATCTTTGCTCTTAAGCAAATATACATAGCAATACTTTGTTCTATCATCAATGAAGGTAGTTAAATATTTATTCCCCCTCTCGTTTGAACAAATTTCAAGTCACAGATAATATTGTGAATTAAATCAAGTGGTTCGGTATTTCTTTCAACAGTTTGAAAAGACAACCTTGTTAATTTTGCCTCAAAACATGTTTCACATTTATGATTATAATTAATATGAAATGAAAGGATATTTTCTAAGTTAATTAATCTATGCAGAGCATCATAATTAACATGTCCAAGTCTGTTGTACCATAAATTAAATGACACAAGCATATAAACGGAAGAATAAACATTGTTATTATTCATGCTTTTGGCTTTTATAGAGATAACATTGAGTTTTCACATATCATTCAATACATATCCTCTACCCACAAGCATTCACCCTTTAGACAAAATTAGCTTTTAGGATTCAAAAACATTCTAAAGCCGTGAACATTTAGGAGTGTTCCAGAAATAAGGTTTTTCCATATGCCAAGTACATAAAATACATTTTGTAGCTTGAGTTCTTTTCCAGAAGTCATCTTCATGACTACAATACCCTTCATCTTGATTTTAGAAGTCATAACATTACCATGTAGAGATTCTCCTCATCGTTGCAAGGTGTCAATTTAGAAAATGAATCCTTGTTGAAACATATATAACGCATAGCTCCAGTATCGAGCTACTATTCTCTTGGATTAAAGTCAACCAGATTGACTTCAGAGATCACAACATATAGATTTATAGCCTCCATATCATTAGATATTCTTTCCACTACATTATCCTCGTGATCTTTCGCTTTCTTTGGATGCATGTACTCAGAGGATTTGTGCCTCATCTTTCCAAAGTTAAGGCACTTCCGTTGTTATTTCTCCTTCTTGGAAATTCCACATTTTGGTCGTAGTTTTGACCATTAGTCCTCCTAATTTTAATTCATGGACTAGGAACTCTGGTAGAGAGCTTATGGTATGCACAACCTATTCATTCGAAAAAGAAATCCATCTACACTATAAAACTTGTTAAAAACACCTTTTGAATAGTTTTTGTAAATTTCAGAGAAATCTGGATCAGAAGAATAAAGTTCCTTAATGTGTTCAAAACCCAAAATAGTAGCATGCATTTGAGTAATGAGTGTGTACCTTCAGGATACTGCATTGGCTACAATGTTATCTTTCCCTTGTTTGTATATAATCACATAAAGGAAAGATTCTATAAATTTAACCCAATGAGCATGTTGTTTTCTTAATTTACCTTGATCGTTTAACCACTTTAATGATTCATGGTCCATATATATAACAAAGTCTTTAGGAATAAGATAATTTTCCATACTTCAAGTGCATGAACAAGTGAAATGAGTTCTTTATCATATATGGAGTAGTTGAGTTATGCTCCTTTTAACTTTTCGCTAAAGTAAGCGATAGGTTTCTTTTCCTGCACGAGTATTGCGCCTATACATATGCCTGAAACTTCACATTCTAGATTAAAAGTGATAGAAAAATTAGGAAGAAAGATAATGGGTGTAGAACATATCTTACCTTTAAGTAGGTCGAAATCATCTTGTTGTTATGGTCCCCATTTGAATTCAACTGACTTCTTGATTATTTTTGGAAATGGTGGAGAAATCTTTGATGAAACATGAATAGAAGCTTGCTAAACCATTTAATTATCTTACCTCGGTGATAGAAGACGGTGTGGGTTATTCTTGAATTTCCCTTACCTCCTCTTCATCTATATGGATACCCTATGCACTTCATGTTAGTAAATAAATGTTCTCGTCATGGAACTTTGAGTACGAAACACATGTGTCTGACATAAGATTCAAAAGAAGGTGAGTAGATAAAGATATCATCAAAGTAAACAATAACATAATTACCTATGAACTCTTTTAGAACGTGTTCATTAACCACATGAATGTACTTGGCGTATTGGTAAGACCGAAGGTCATGACGAGCCATTTATAGAGTTCGAACTTTGTTTAGAAAGTTGTTTTCCACTCGTTTTTTTCATTCTTTAAGATTTGGTGGTAACTTCTTTTTAAATCTATCATCGTGAAGATGCATGATCCATGAAGTTCAATTAGCATATCATCAAGGAGTGGGATGAGGTGTATATATTAGATTGTTATCCAGTGCTCGGTCTACAATATACACACAATCAGAATTTACCATCTTTCTTTAGTACAAGAATCATTAAAACAACATAAGAACTAAGGCTTTGACATATGTGCACTTTTGTAACAATGCTTCCCCTTATCGTTCCAATTCTTTAGTTTCTTCAGAATTACATCAATATTCAGGCCTGAATGGAATTAATGAACCTGAAATAATGTCAATTTGATGTTCTATTCCTTGTTTAGGTGGTAATCCATCCATGGATTGCTTAAGAAATCTGTGAAATCCTACAAAAGAGAAACAAAATAACTAGGTAAATTTATAAGGTAAGTAGAAATTGAAAACATGGTTTCTTTGAAACCGATGAGGATGCAAGTTTTGTTGTGGGAAAAGGTTTCTCTCAGGTCTTTCTAACTCGCATAATTGTTTTTGACACTCTTTTTTTCTATCAAGTGGATTCACTCACCTCCTGTAGGTCATGTTTTTTGCTTTTATCAGTTTTGACATCTTTTGCCTCTTTTTTTTTAAATTCCCAACCTCCTCACAAATTATTTTCTAATCTGGAAGAATATCTTTTGGATGCATCGACCTCAAACTGTAAGGTTTATCGTAGATATTTAAAGAGTATTTGTTTTCTTTACTATAGTAAATGACATCATTGTCATATTGTCATAGTTGTCCCAAAAGAATGTGAGATGCTTGCATTTGAAGTACATCACACCACACATCGTTAGAATATTTTCCCATCTTCAGACTAACGAGGCATTGTCTTGTGACCTTTAATTCAGAGCTCTTATTAAGCTAAGCAATATGGCTTTGGGTGTTGTTGACAAGGCAAGTTAAGTGTATCCACCACGTAACTGCTAATCAAATTAACATAACTTTCATTGTCAATAATCAAGGAATATGATTTATTATTTATATTAAATATTGTTTATAAGATGTTTGTACTCTATATATTTGAATCATCGATTGTTTTTATGCTTAGATTTTGTCTCACAACTAAGCATAATACATCAAATCAATCATTATCCGAATCATTTTGTTCATCGTTTTCCATATTATCGCGACAATCTATTTTTTATTCTGACCAACTAATGCCCTCCTCTCAGATTAACATGGTTTTTAAGTTTGAATAATCTCAACTGATATGACCATAACCTTTGCATTTAAAGCATAAGGGTTCTCTTATTTGATACTTTTTAGGGTTTTTGGTCATATCTTTATTAACCACCTTAGTCTTTTCATTCATCGTTTTCTTATTCGCCACAGAAGGTGGAGTAGAATATGAAGTGAGATTAAATGAATTACCTTTGTAAGAAAATGAAGTACCTTGATAATGCTCTCTAATTCTAAACTTTTTTGAAGTTGTGCTTCGATTGTTATTGTTTTCTTCAATGTGTCTTCCAGAATTTCGTATCCATGTAAATCAAGAAGATCAACTATTCTTATGTTTAAGCCAACAACAAATCTTGACATGGTATCTTCTTCGTCTTCAGTGATGACTGCTCAGTTTATGAGGGACTACATCTCCTTGTAGTATTCGACTGAACTTTTTCTTTGTCGAAGTTGGTGGAGTCTTTGTTTTACTTCCCTCGTGTAGTGTGTCATCAGAAAATAGTTTCTCATGAATATTTTTAGCGTTGCCCATGATGTAATGTCTTGGATATGGTTATCTTGGATTGCTTTTCTAGTCTGCATCTGCCAAGTGTGAGCATAACCAAAAAATTCCATAGTGATAAGTGGTACATGTTCATCTATGGGACAGTCATGGTAGGAAAACATGAGATCAATTTTTCCTTTCCAATCGATGTAATCATCCAGATCGTAGTCTCCTTTGAATGGTAGGATTGTGAACTTTAGTTTTGCAAAAAGTTTCGGCTTTGAAACTGGAGTTGTCCTCACCTAGGAACCATCACATTATCAACTTGTCTCGATTGATCAATTGATGGTGGTTGTTATTGTTGTCGTAAGGTGAGATTGAGTTCGTCAAACCGTTGTTAAAGTTTGGTAAGTACATTTGTATGAAGTTGTATAGTATTTGAGAGAACAACAAGTGTCTCGTTGAGTGCTTTTTTTCTTTTCATTCTGAAAATCACAACACTCAAATAAAATTTAAAAATAAAAAGAAAATAAGAAACCTCACAAGTTACTCCAAGGAAGTAATAAAACGAGAGGCAAGAAAGTTAATCTTTTACTCTTTAAAACTCTCTTCTCCAAAAAAGCTTTTCAATGTTTGTGTCGGAGTTCAATCACTAACTAATAGAAAACATTACTAAAAAGCTCTAAGAGGCCAACAAAGGTATGACTCCAAGAGAACGAGAATAAAAGGAGGAAGAAGTATGCAAACTCTTTTAATCCTACTAACAAAAGGAGAAGAATGTGCTAGATGATGTAAAAGAACAAAGAAAAGGTAAGACAAAGGAACCTAGGGTAATAAGAATCAAAGAAAGTTGAAAAACCTAAAACTTGAATCACTGGATGAACTTGAACAACATTTTTAGGGGTTGTCAATCTCCAAAAAATTTGAATATTTTTGTAGATGTTTTCCAATGGATTTATTTTGAATCTAGAAAATTTTAGAACCAATTTTTTTCTGAAATTTCTTTGAAAATTCATCAATAACCAGTTCTTAAATCTATCGAACAACCTTGAATGAAGGATCATAGGGGTCTATTGATGTTTGATTGGCTTGAAGTGTAAATTTGTCTTAGGATGAAGAATGTTCTTGTGAAAAATCAGCTCCAAATTCTTTCATTTGCAATTTCTAGATTTTTTTTGGCTTTTTATCTTTTTTTATTGCCTTTTTATTTCCTTTTTCTTTTCTTTTGATTTTTATTATTTTTCCCTTTTTTTCAATGAAAACAGAAAACTAACAAGAAGGAATTGAAACTAAATCAAAAGAACAAAAAAATCTTAAAAATGATGAATCTTAGCAAACAAGCTTAGTTGGGGTACCTTGGCGGTGTATGCTTGCAAGAACGGTCAAGAGCACTTGTTTCTCTCCAAGCATCATCCCAAATATGATACCAATTGATAGATAAGTGGCAACGATTAATGAACATTGCTCTTCGTTGAAAATTCAAACCTAACAAGCTCTAGACTAGATCAAAGAATGAGATGATGAGAGAGAGATGTGGGCGGCGGCAATAGGTTTTTGGATAGATTAGGATTTGCTGGAATTAAGACAATTAGAAGATTAAGATAAAGAAGATAAAAGAAATTGAAAGAATAAACACAAGTAAAGAGAAGAGATAGGATAGGATATGATAGGATAAATTACCAAATTAGGGTTTTTGGAAAAATTGATCATGACACATAATGGAACAAGAAGATAGGTGTTAGATAGGGGATAATATAAGGATTATGAATATGAAAACGGAATTGAAAAACTATGAACGGATAAAGAGAAAACTAAATTTGAAGTTTCACCTAGTTTGTATGTGTTGTCGTAAAGCTTATGGATATGGTGAAGGTGGCGTCAACTTGATGATGATGATAATATGATGGAAATATATGGATAATGGCCAATCAAACCCTCCTAGTCACAATGAAAAGGAAAACTAAACAATAAAACTCTAATCAGTCCTCCTAATCATAATGAAAAGGCAAACCGAAGTGTGGAGATCTATTTATGAAGAACTTGAAAAGAACTCAAAGGAAAAGAATATTCGAAGGCACAAGGCAATCATCTCTTGCAAAAATGTATTCACATTGTATTATTATTCTAGAAAAATGTGCCTTTACAATGGTGGGAGGAGCCTCATTTATATAGGTGAGGAGAAGTCCTTGTTGTAACACAACTATGTAATAAAACCCTAAATAAAATATATTCTAATAGCAATGAGATGGACGACATTGATGCTAGCCGTTGATGTAGTGCTGGTTGTGATGAAATCAAGGAGTTTGAATGCATGATGAAACCTTTCAGCTTGATGGATGGTCTTGATAAGTCTTCTAGAAGATAAGTTGGCAGGAAATCTTAGTAAGTAGATTTGATAAGTGCTCAATCCTCTGATAAGTGGGGTGATAGGCGACCATGAAGGGGTATGGATTTATTATTACCAAAAATTACTCTTTTACCCTTATCCTAATAAAATAAAAGAAGAATAATTAAAAAACTAAAAACTAAGAATGAAAATAATCCATGCTTCGTGATTCAACAATGGATACTTTTTCCAAAGTTTTAGTAATTTAAGAGGGTTTGAAGATATTTTCAGGACTATCTTCTTGAATCTTGCAATTTGATCATGAATTAACTTCAACTTGTGTTATGGAGATCCAAGTGGCTATGGGAGAAAGGATGAATGAGTTTCCTTCCTTGAATTCTTCTGTCTCTATGTGGGCTTAGATTCTTTTGTTGATGAATACTTGGACTGAAGTATGGACCTTGTTTTTTAGGAGTTTGACCCAGTTTCTTGTAATTGAGCCTTGTGGAAGAGTTAACCCATTTTCCTTAGATTTGTGGCATGTGGTACATGTATCACAAGGGACCGATTCTTTTTCTGGAAAAGTGCATAATTCTCAAGAACATGCATATATGAGTTACCAAACTTATATATAATCAATCATAGGAACTAGATACATGTTGGGACACTTTCATACCACTTCATACATGTCCAAATACACTTATACCATGCTTCATAAAACATGTCACAACACCGTACAAGGATTTTGCATTAAAAGTCAAAGTTCACTTTTAATACAAGTCACCTAGTCCAATTATGCAATTTGGGTCATTTCATGCATCCTATGAGTCTTAACACATTTAGTACACTTAGTTTAACTTGTCTAAGCACACCAAACACCTTCTTAAGGTACAAATCAACATTTGGCTAATTTTATGATCAATTCAACCAATAACATGCATTCAACAATTTTGATCAACCAATCAAGCAATTAACAATCTCCTATACAAAACCAATGGTCCACATAACATGCCACATTTATTACAACTCAACATATTAACAAATGTCTAGGTTCCAAAAATGATTCTCAGATTGCCATTACATGGGTTCAAACCACATACGCTTTATTTAGAAATGCCTTGCTCGACCACTCTAGATGCTTACTCTTTGCCTCTGACTCGACTGCTAATCATCTGAAAAGTGTTAAACAAAGAGTGTGGACTGAAAAGCCCATTGAACAACTAACATTCTAAGTAATGCACATTACAAAGCTAAAGGAAAACCCTATATGCAATCACAACTCACTTGTTTTTACCTCAACATTTATTCTAATGTATTATGCTTTTATACTCACATATCGCATCCTAAATAAACATAAATCCATAATACACATAAGCCATAAATCATTAAATAATCAATAGCAAACACATACACTCATGCACTATTACCTCTTTGGAAAATCACACACAATGCACACATTATTTAAATTAAAGATCAATGACCTTTTGTTCGAAACACATCTGACTCATTGGACAAACAAACTCCATACAACTCTCTTTTATTTGTGGATTCACTTATATCTAAAACCATAAATTTTATAGCAAAGCTCAATGCACCAACCTTACCTCGTGTTCTTCTCGGAGCATAACTCAACGCACCCCATATAACCCCATATCACACACATATAGAAAAACTTAGAGTACTCTTTCCTAGGCATGTCTTTCATATCCAAATGTCCTATTAAGAACAAATAGTCAATTAATCCAAGTTCATCAATAGTGGCTATCAATGATGCATAGTTTTTCACATATACGCTTTCAAACACATTTTGAAACATAATCAGATATGGTTGTCATGGTCAACCTTATATGGACATTAAGATGGTCAACTCGTCCATGTACACATTCACATATATATACATTTTCAAATACATATTTGAAATCCCTATGCATCATTCGCAACACAAACACATTTCACATAGCACATTCACATTTCCTATTACATTTCATATCGCATTTCATATCAATTAAATGTGTCAATAACAACTCATTTAAACCAGAGTTCAAGCTAAATATACACCTTAAACTACACATTCTTTTCCCCTTGAACATGTTCATCCACAAATAATGAAAGCCACTTACCTTTGTTGTCCATTAACCAAAATATCCTCCGAACACTTAGAAAACGCTCACCAAATACAATATACCATTTTTCCTCAACAATCAACACATCAAACACCTTGGAAAGCAAAATAACACATCTAAAATAGAGAAGAAATTTTTATTTCCAAAATAGAGCAAAAAGAATGAAATTACTGAAAACGTTACCGAAATGACTCTCAAAACCTTCAATTTGACCGACAACACTTCTCCTCAATAAGAACTGATCAAGAACAACTAATATCACAACTAAACTTAACTAAAACCTCATAATTAACCTCAACAAATCCTAATTCCCAAATTTCTTAAAAAAACACTGAAATCAAATTTGTTTTAATGAAATCGATATTCAAATCAAATGAGATTGCAAAACTGATTTAATATGATAATAACATCATAAAAAATCTTAATCAACACAAGAAAATCTTGAAAAGAAATCAAGAAAAATAGCTCATTAAATACCTCCGAAAATCACTTTTAATTCACAAACTTCTTTTTAAATAATTGTTCGATTAAAATCGTCAATCACATTTAATCATTAATCACCGAAGCAATAAAAGAACGAAGAAAAAGATAAATACTTTGCTGGAAAAGAGGATGAAAATCAACAATAGCAACACCTAGGTGATCAAGGAAGAAAACGATAAAAAGAAGAAAAGAGAAGAAACAATCTTGATTGAAGAGGGAAAATCAAGAATAAAGGAACAAGAATCAATAACAAAGGAATAGAAAATAAAGAATAAGAGTTTCACCCCTTAGAGAGAATTTGGGAGAAAAAGATACGATAGTTTTTTTATGAGAGAAAATGAAAGGAACTGTTAATGAAACTTAGAAATGAAAATAAGCAAAGATTGAGAGAATGAATCTAGATGGAAATTTGGCTAAAAGAGAAATTAAGATGCGGTTAAGCTTGGAGAGAAAAACCATTATACATAAGCCTTGGTAAAATAAGCTTCATAGATTATCGATTTGTGATATTTTACAATTTAGTCACTAAAATCATGATTTTCAAATTATTTAATTTAATCACTTTGTAAAACCAATTATAAATTCCCAAAAATATAAATATATAATTACAAACTATTTTAAATCATTTTAGTAAATACTTATCATTTAAAAATACCAATATTAATATTTTTACCAAAAATCCAAAAATTGACCCGACTACCAACCCGAAACTACCGACCCTCACTTTGGGACGTTACAATTATCTCCCCTAAAAAGAATTTCATCCCTTAAATTACTTAATCAAACAACTGTAGATACTTAGCTCTCATCAATCCCTCTATCTCCCACATCACCTCTTCGGTTTTATGGTTACACCACTACACTTTCACTAATGGAACTGACTTATTCCGAAGCACTTTCACTTCACTAGCCAGGATCTTAATAAGCTCTTCCTCGTAAGAAGAGACAACACGAACCTCAATATTATCCTTCGAAGCAACATGCAAAGGATTCGATCGATACTTACGCAACACTGACACATGGAACACATCGTGAATATGCTCAAGCTCAGGCAATAACCTAAGATGATACACAACCAGGTCATATAAACCTCAGACTAAGATTACCCTTACGTCCAAAACAACACCTTCTTCCAAGGCGAAACCTTCAAGAAAAAAAAGTCACCCACTATATACTCAATCTCACGACGCTTCAAATCAGTATAAGACTTCTGTCGATCCGAAGTAACCTTCAAACGCTTCATAATCAACTTAACCTTATTTTTTATCCTGAACTAGATTCGGACCAACAATATGCCTTTCACTCAACTCAGACCAACACAAAGGAGTATGACACTTACAACCAAGCAACGCCTCAAACGGTGCCATCTGAATACTCGCCTGATAACTATTATTATAAGCAAACTCTACAAATGGAAAATAACACTCCCAAGAATAACAAAATCTATAACACAAGCCCAAAGCATATCCTCCAAAACTTGAATTACACTCTTCGACTGACCATCCGCCTGTAGATGATAAGTCATACTAAGACTAAGCCTCGAACCCAAAGCCTTATGCAAACTCTTCTAAAACCTCGACATAAAATGCAGGTTATGATCTGAAATAATTGAAAAAGGAATATCATGCAACCACACTATCTCTACTATATACAACTCCACCAACCTTATTAATAAAAATATCATACGCACCATCAGAAAATGCACACTCTTAGAAAACGATCAATAATCACCCAAATCAAATCCTTCTTTAACAGTGTCAATGGTAAACACGTCACAAAATCTATCATAATACACTCCCACTCCGAAATAATAATCTATTGAAGTAACCCAAATGACACTAATGTTCACTTTTACACGCTGACAAACCAAACATCGCCTCACAAACTCAACAACCACATGCTTCAATCTTGGCCATCAATACAAATGTCGTAAATCTTGATAAATCTCCTTACAACCTAAATGCATCACAAACGACCCATTATGTGCTTCTGAAAGAATTTCACACCTCAAACTTGAATCCTTAGGAAAACACAAACTACCTAGAAAACATAAGACACCCTCAAAATTCAACAAGAAAACACCACCCAAACCATCTCTCGTAAGTTGCAACTTCGCTTCCAACTTCCTATCACTAGTTGTAAATCTTAAATCCGTTGCGACCACATAGACTTGATTTGTAATTCAGCGACTAACGCTCCATCCTCAGACAAGCTCAAACTCGCAAACAAAGCCCACAACTCACCCATCGACTTGCGAATCAAAACATCAGCAACCACGTTCACTTTACCCGAATGATACTCAATCAAACAATCATAATCCTTCAACAACTAAACCCAATGTCTTTAACTCAAATTCAATTACTTCTAAGTAAGGAAGTACTTGAGAATTTTGTGATCAGTGTAGATGACACACCTCTCACCATACAAGTGGTGACGCCAAATCTTTAGTGCAAACACTACCGCGGCTAACTCAATATCATGTATAGGATAGTTACACTCATGCGACTTTAACTTCCTCGATGCATAAGCAACCACTCTACGTCTTGCATCAACACGCACTTAAGACTGATAATAGATGCATCACTAAACACCACAAAAATCTTTTTCCGACACTAACTGCATTAAAACAGGAACCTCTATAAACACCAGCTTCAACTTCTCAATACTATTTTGCCTCTCTTCCGTCCACTCAAACTTAGCATTCTTTTTCAACAACTTCATCAAAGGAACAACAATAAGTTAAAAACCTTCCATGAAACGACGATAATAACTAGCTAACCCAATAAAACTACGAACTTCGGTAACACTCCTAGGCAACTTCCATTCGACTATCGCTTTAATCTTATTCGGATCAACCCGAATACCCTCAATTGAAACAATATGTCCAAGGAACGCTACCTCACTCAACCAAAAATCACACTTAGAAAACTTCGCGCACAACTTCTTCTCTCTCAACTTCTTCTCTCCTTTTAATATTTTGGATTGATGAATCATTGAGTACATTTAATAATTATGTAACATAAGTATAAATAAAATAATTACATATTTAGTATCTCAACTATCACTTTTGATCAAAGATAAAATGTTTAAACTCAAACCCTAGCCTTCCTTGATTGGGTTAGACGCTCAACCGTGGTTAGAGTGCATGTTATGATTGTTTCTCCAAATTATATATTAATTATTTTATGTTATAAAATAACAATATATATATTTTTTTTATTAATCTATAGTACTTACAAATGGTAATATCTGATATAAAAAGATTTAATCATTTGAGAATAAACGTTCAAATATCATATAATTTTTTGCGTTCAAACATGAGATCTCTAAAAATAATAATTATTTCTTTAATCGCTAAGGTAATTTAATTCATACACAATATATAATTAATTAAAGTTATAAATTCACCCAACTATCAAATTTTGAACCATATATTAAAACAATAGAGATCTTTTTTTTTTAAGGATAAAACAATAGAGATCTTGTATGAGCAAAAAAGAGACAGGTTTGAATAGTCGACATCTACCCAACCACAATTTGGCAATAAAAGGATGATCCTTAATTGGAGGAGTCGTCACACTTCCACTTTTACCCTTCTATGGTTGACACCCGAACCGCCCATTGCATTAAAAGACAAGTTTATCCGCTTTGGCATACCAGTTTCTAAATTTTAGCCAAACTGCTCCTTTTACTTTAATAAAATTAAATGGAATAATGCTCTAGAATTAGCAATAGCCATAACAACAGGCTAAACTTGGAAAAAGGTAAAAAAAAACTAATTAGAGGAACTGGATAATTTTAAAATTATTATGAAGATGAAGTAATTTATACAATAATTAATAAAATCGTTAATAATTAAAAGAAGTTTTAATAAATTATCGATCATTTTTTTATAATTTCAAGATTAAATTGAATGAAAATGGAAGTAAAAGATTAAAATAAAATTTTAAAAATTAATACTTTTAAGTAAAACGATTAGTATAAAAGAAATTTATATTAAAATCACCCTCGACTACTTTACTGATTACTTAACAAATCACCATATTTACATAATTATTCTTTTTTTCACTATTTTCCCCTAATTTAGCCCATAACAACTAGCCTAGCTGTTCCAAAGCAATTTACGTGATGTGCAAATTATATTCAAATTAAAGAGCTTTAATGAGCTTCCTAATTGTTTGTAGTCAAGTGCTTCTTTTTCCTTTTCTTTTTTTATTTCTAAGGAAATTATTAGGCAATCCTCCCTTGACTTTCGCGTCATTTCTTGATCTCTTACACAAATAAATAACTTGTAAAACTACACTAATACAAACTACATTAACGAGAGTTAATACAAGTGATTAGAATTAAAAATTTGAAATTATAAAACTAAATTCAAAAATTTTAAACTTATAAGATCAAATTTAAATTTTATTATTATAAATTTCAATTGAATTTTAAATATGTCCTTACACCCCTACCTAAATTCTTTAACCAAAAAAATCTGATAGAAACTACATTTCTCGCGGCTCAGTGCACAACACAGCAAAATCTCAAAGTATATCATATAATACCCCAAATTAGGTTGATGTTCATCACTAGTTTCAAGTATTATTTATGTATACAGTACGTCAAACCGTATTTATAGTTAAAAAAGGCAAACATAACAGACCCGTTGGAAAAAAGTTATACATCCAACAGGTTATGGATCCAATCCATAATACTGTCTTTGTTTCACAAACATTTACTCTGTTTTTCTCTCTTCCGTATCTTTGTGTATTTGTATATGTATTCCTAGTATTAAGTTTGGTCAAGCATCATCCTCAGAAATTAAAATCAGAACCCAAACTAGCACCTTGCTCGGCAAATATATCCAACAGGGAAATTGCCTGCAATTTTTAGCAGCACAAGTAAAAATTAATATCAGAACCCAGTCTGGTAAAACTAAGAAAATTTCCAAATTAGCATCACAGTTTTGGCCGTGTGAAAATTTTACCTCCGGAATGTTGAGTTCAAGCCGGAACTTTGGACCATCGTAGTGATGGAGAATTGGTCTAAATGAGTCTTCTTCAAGTGGCTCGCAGATCTTCCTTGTGATAACACGAACCTGCGGAGAATAAAAAACCATGGTATTGCTCAAAGATACTAACAAGAACATAATTTGATATAAATTGTAAGAACCAAATGAATACCTGAGCAGGGAATCGTGATTCGCCGGGGCATTTCTTGTCCTCCCAGGCTGTTGGGTCAATGTTTGATCCACCAAAGCTTGCAGCCTGAATAGAATAACATCAGACCATTATTAAATTTAGAAAGAAAAAAAACAGTATCAGAGTTAAGGAATAGTGTCGGCACCTCAAAAACTCCATGGAGTTGGTGGGTGGAGTAGTTGTAGAGGAACAGAGGCAGGCCCGGAGTTATTGCCCGGACTGAATCTCGGTAACGTGGAGGCAATCCTGCATACGATTCATAACAACAAAGTAGGACCCAATCTCAAAAACAGTAATACCTTTACAATTACAGAGGAAGAAAACAGGAGCAAAGACATACCAAAGAGCTGTTCCTGAGATTCTCTTCCATGGTATCGTTGTTGCAGACAAAGATATAGCCTCCTACAGTTTCATTCCTAGGCAAAGCTTCAGATGGTGGCAGTGTTTTAAACCTCTTATCGGCGGCAGTCTTCCAATCTTTATCATTATTATCGCTATTGTTCTTCTTCTTCTGCTTCCCATTTTTGCTTCCATGATTCTCCTCTGTTTTGTTTCTGTTAGCCTTCGAATTAACACTGAAATTATTGTTGCTTGCTGGATTCGAATAAATTCCTTTATTGAACCCTCCGTTGATCCCTAAATTCTTCTGGGATCCAACCGGACCGAACCCTATGGCGTTGTTGGTAGCGGCTCCGATTTTCCATCCATCGTTGTTGAAAGAGTTGAAATCGGAGACCTTTGGCTTCAAGTTGTTGACGGAATTAACGTCACCGCCGACTGTGATATCGAAATTCCTCCTCTCATCGGGCCTCTTGGGAAGATAGGAATTGCTCCATATGGAATCGTTGAGTGAAAGATTAGCAAAGTTTGAATTTTGGACTCTTAGTTGATCACTGAACTGCCAAAAGGATTGCTGGTTGTTCTCCATATCTAACGGAAGATAATTTCACAAACTGGATAACAGAGATAGAGAGTTCAATCCGTATTAACTTACGAAACTCCCAAGTCCTATGGTTTAAAGCAAGGCAATGAGAGAGAAAACAAGGTTTAAGGGGGGTGTTAAATAGATTAAAGGCAAATGAAACTTGAGAAATTTCGTGGAAGCTGGGTTGGTATTTTAAGATTAGGTGTCAACTTGTCAAAATCGAAAATTAAAATTAATTAATTAATTAATTAATCTCCACTTAAATAAATCTTGATTTGCAAAGGTAAGTAAGGGTGGAAATGGAGGAAGTCTCACTTGTGGCACTTTAATATTTGATTAAAGAAATGTATTATTGGTTTTATTATTATTTTTTAATATTTTTGTTGAAAATTACTAGAATCTTATTATTTATGTCAGTTTTATTATTATTAGGTATTTTATCGATTTTGTTAATATATCTAGTAAAGTATTAACTAAAATATTTTTTTACCGATTTTATTAATATTGAGCACTCTACTAAAAATATTAAAAAATTTTAATGTTTTAAGTATAAATAATATTTTATATAATTTTTTTATTAAAAATATTAAAAAAATAATAACAAAATTAATAATATATTTATTTAACTTTATATTAAAACTATAGTAAGATAAAACTCCATGTGAAAACGAGTTCTGACCAAATAAACGCGGTTTAACGTGGCAGAAAGGTGCTGAGTCTTCTAGGAGCTCCTTTTTCCCTTCATTTCGGTGTTAAAGGCTTGAAAAGCAATCATTATGTAGTGGTCTAATTATTTATGTAATTTTATTTTGGTCAATTAATTATTATTTTTAAAATTATATTTAAAGTTATATTTTAATTTTTTTTAGAAAAATTAATAATATTGATATGTCAAGATAAAATAATACCATATTATTATTGAAAAATAAAAAAAATTATCATATTAATAATTTTATTTATTTTTAATTACAAATGATCAAAATGAAATAAAAAATATAATTTTATATATGATTTTTTTAAAGATATTTGGATGACTAAAACGAAATCTTGAGAATAGTTGAAGGATTAAATATGTATTTTACTCAAAAATTAAAACAAGGGTGTTCTCTTTATGGGATCAATTCACAGGTGCGTGGGTAGTTTCTACACGTGGGAGAAGGCTTTTTTATGGGGGGGGGGGGGTATCGGTTTATTGGTTTAACGTCGAATCGGTCGGAAGAACCGGATGACGTCATAATTATTTAAAAAATTAAATAAAAATACCAAAAATATTTAATAAAAAATAATTTTTTATATCACAAGTCATATTCAAAGCAAGTCATAACATATATAAGTTAAAAACCATAAAATAAAGTGAAACAAAATGATTCAAATTAACTACAACATAATATTTAAGGTAAAACATATTAAATAATAAATATAATTATATAACTATAATTAAAAAATAAATTTGGGTTAAAAAATCATAACAAAATTATATATATAACTATAATTATATAACTATTTTTCCTCTTATAAGCTCGAATTTTAGCTTCAATCGAGCTTCTAATTTTTTTTGAGTTCAAGCCTTTTTGAGTTCAAGTTTCAATATTATATTTCGAGTTTGAATTGAACTTGATAATTTTTAGCTTGTGAGTTTGAGTTGAGTTGAGCTTACTTTTAAAGTTTTCAAGTTCGAGTCGAGCTCAGCAATACTAGAGTTCGACTTGGCTCTTTTAACAAACGACGTTGTTTGGTTTAATTTTTTTTTAAAAACAAAATCCCGGTTTTTTCCGATTTTCAGCCGGTCCGGTTCGAACGGTTCAGCGGTTCTGGCCGTTCACTAATAGTGGTTCAAACCGGTTTAGATTGAACCGGACTAAGCAGCGGTTCCGATTGAACCGGTTGAACCGGCGATCCGTTCTGATTTTCAAAACAGAGTTTTGGGTTACCTATGGGTCAGGTGATCCTTTTAAGATATATTAAATTAAGAATGAGTATCTAATTGACCTAAGTCGAGTTAAGTTAAAAATTTAAATTATTCGAGTTAACAATTCATGTTTTTTTTGCTTTAATTTAACTTGAATTTTTAAGTCAAGTCGAGTTTAAGAAATTCGAGTCGAGGTATTCGAGTTATATATAAATTTTATTATAATTATTTATAGTATTATGGTTAGAATTTATTCAATTTTTTTATTTTCTCTAACCATAATATATATATATCTTATATTCTTTTGATATTAATGTTATTTAATATATCAAATACAATTTAAATTTATAAATACATTTAGATATTTTAAATAAGATATTTTGAGGATAAAGTATCGCTGAAAGTAAAAAAAGTCAGAAATTGATAAGAAAAAAGAATTTGTAAGCAAATGCACTTAAAAGATCAAATTGAATAAATGCAAAGTTAAGGGATTAAATAAAAAGTATAATTTTAGTAAAAAAATAAAAAATGACATTATATAGGTATTATATAGTGGTATATGAGCATGTTCAATCTCAAATAAAATTTACTTAACAAATCATTGTAGGTGTAGTGATTAAATACTTGTATGCAAATATATTGGGCGTATGTTCAATCTCAAATAATTATTTTAATTTCATTATTGAAAGATTATATAAAATATAAATCAACAAATAAACTATTATAGTAATTTCATTATGCAAATATTTGGAATAAAAATATAAGTAAAGTATATAAATGTTAACTCTGCTTTGTTAATTTACCGATTATTAAAATATAATTTTATCATATTTCATATAGATAACAGGTTAAAATCCAGCTGAGACAACTATTAATTTTCTAACGAAAAAGATATAGTTTAAAATATATAAATAATCGTATGATTATTTTATAATTTTTAATAGTAGTTTTATTATTATTATTTTTACTCTACGTAAAAATATCAAGAGTTTGGTTTTGGGCTTAAAGTCAAAGGAAGAAATGTGGAACTTTTGTCGATGATTTCAAACCGTACTGGTTCCAAAATGGATGCAATTGTCAAGCTCAAGTTGGAGCCCGTCCTTGAAGAATAAAAATTCAAGATTGCGACTTGTGAGGCAAGATAAAGATCGAAATGTGAAAACCCTAACTGACCAAGTTGATTCAATTCATGGTGACATCTTTTCCTTTATTTTTAAATCGAGTAAATATATATTTTGATATTGAAAGTTTAATTGACTGTTTAATATTATTTTTTGGGTTCAATTGGGGTATTTAAGTTTAACTTAGTAGTTGAAATTAACATCAAAACGTCTATTTTTTAAAAATTGGTGCTTATGGGAAATGATTTATATAAATCAATTTAAACCATAAGGTTAAGTTTAGTTATGAATTTGAACATACAAGTCAAATTCATGTATTTAACAGAACACTAAAATTAAGTACCAAACAGAAATTTGAAAATCCATATACCTAATTAGATAAAATAAATAAATATCAAATTATACATTGGAACTAAATTTGAGTATTATATATATATTTACCTTTCAAGATAAACGAACTTAATTTTTACACACCAGAAAAACAGTTCTACCATTTAAAAAGTACTAATTAGCCCGTGATTTTGATTTTTCTTCTACTTCACTTTTTCGAGCGGGTTTGAAAGCAACGTGTAATGCTATCTAAATATTAATATTGAGTTAATCAACTTTGTCGTGGTATGAGTGATGCATGTTAATCAAATTATGAGAAAACGTTTTTCTTTTTGGTACAAGCATACGTGGCATTGATAAATAGATAACTTGTTACGTCATTAGCATGATTTTCAGAATCGGATCGATTAACGAATTAGTCATGTTATTAGTTCATTGGTTTAATCGGTCGAATCGATCCGACCGGTCGGAAGAACCGGACGACATCATAATTATTTAAAAAATTAAATAAAAATACCAAAAATATTTAATAAAAAAAATTATATCACAAGTTATATTCAAAGCAAGTCATAACATATATAAATTAAAAATCATAAAATCAAGTGAAACAAAATGATTCAAATTAACTACAACATAATATTTAAGGTAAAACATATTAAATAATAAATATAATTATATAACTATAATTAAAAAATAAATTTGGGGTTAAAAAAATCATAACAAAATGATATTGTTTGATTTAATTTTTTTTTAAAACAATCCCACATGGCTTAAGATACATAGAAGAGCATCCCAAAAGTCTAAAGAGTAAAAATATGAGAACAAAACAATCTCACATTGCTAAGAAACATAAAAACGCATCACAACTAACTTCTATAAATAATAGAGGTAATTTGGCATTCAAAACCATGGAACCTTTTGGTGAGCATTGAGTGAACTATTCTTTCACTTCAATCAAGCTCGAATTTTAGCCTTCAATTGAGCTTCT